ACGACGTTTCGGCCACAACGCAAGCAGCCGTCCTCAGGTGAAGAATGAAACACTGCCAAGCTTGCAGCGTATATTTAAAGTTGGGTTGGAAGCTTGGTGGTGTTTCATTCTTCACCTGAGGACGGCCGCTTGCGTTGTGGCCGAAACGTCGTGAGAATAATTTTATTATGTTTTAATTTTATTATTTTATTACTTCCCTTCTACGTGACTTTACCGAAAGAACCAAGAAGATGAATCCCTGCAGTCACGAAAGCTTTACATCGAAAGAAACAGGGAGAAGTTATTCACCGACCCGCGCGTCGTCCCCGTGGCGCGGAGACAAGCAGCTGACGAGGAAGTCACGCGGACGAGAGCTGTTTTGCTCGACAGTCAGACTCGTGACACACCCCATAGACTCACACAGAGAGCCGTAGACTCACACAGAGAGCCGTAGACTCACACAGAGAGCCGTAGACTCACACAGAGACCCGTAGACTCACACAGAGAGCCGTAGACTCACACAGAGACCCGTAGACTCACACAGAGAGCCGTAGACTCACCACACAGAGAGCCATAGACTCACACAGAGACCCATAGACTCACACAGAGACCCGTAGACTCACCATACAGAGACCCGTAGACTCACCACACAGAGACCCATAGACTCACCACACAGAGACCCGTAGACTCACGCAGAGACCCGTAGACTCACTCACTCACCCACCCACTCTCTCACCCACTCACTCACCCACCTACCCGCCAACTCACCCACTCACTCTCTCACTCACCCACTCACTCACTCTCTCACCCTCCCTCCCACTCACTCACCCACCCACTCACTCACCAAACCCACCAACCCACTCACTCACTCTCTCACTCACTCACTCACTCTCTCACTCACCCACCCACTCACTCACTCTCTCACCCACTCACTCACCCACCCACTCACTCACCACATAGAGACCCGTAGACTCACTCACCAACCAACTACTCACACTCTCACCCACACACTCACTCTCTCACCCACCCACTCACTCACCCACCCACTCACTCACCCGCCCACCCACTCACCCACCGACTCTCTCTTTTACCCACTCACTCACTCTCTCACCCACCCACTCTCTCACCCACCCACTCACTCTGTCACTCACTTTCTCACCCACCCACCCACTCACTCACTCATCCACCCACCCACTCACCCACCCACTCACCCACCCACTCACTCACTCACTCACCCACCCACCCACCCACTCACTCACCCACCCACCCGCTCACACTCTCACCCGCCCACTTGCCACACTACAGGTCACCAAACCAACACACGGACTTTCTTCCTTACTCACTCACTCACCCACTCACTCGCTCCCCCACCCATTCTCTCACCCACTCACTCACTCACCCACTCACCCACCCACCCACTCACCCACCCACTCGCTCACGCACTCACTCATCCAATTACTCACCCACTTACTGATCCACTCACCCACCCACTCACATACTCACTCTATTACTCACCCACTCACCCATCAACTCACTGACACATTCACCCACCCCATCACAAACTCAACCGCTTACTGACTCGTTAACTCACCCACTTGGTAACCTACTCATTCACTCACTCATATACTCAATAATTCACCCACTCCATCATCCATTCACTCACCCACCCATGGACAAAGGTCCCCCTTATAAGCTTGGCAGACCGTTGAGGCAACTGCTGTTAGCGAGCACCTATTAATCTGGGCACTGCACATACGTGAGTATGATCTCTCCCTGTTCTACAGGGTGAGTGAGTGGAGTTTGTATGATAAGCAGCAGCAAAATACTCTAAACGTGTTTGTACAGACTTTGAGACCCACATCCACACCCATCGAGACCCACATCCATAGAGACCCACACTCACCGAGACCCACAGAGACCCACAGAGACCCACAGAGACCCACACCCATAGAGACCCACACCCCCAGAGACCCACACCCACAGAGACCCACAGAGACCCACACCCACAGAGACCCACAGAGACCCACACCCATAGAGACAAACACCCATAGAGACCCACAGAGACCCACTCCTATAGAGACCCACACCCACAGAGACTCACACCCACAGAAACCCACACCCACAGAGACCCACAGAGACCCACACCCACAGAGACCCACAGAGACCCACACCCATAGAGACCCACAGAGACCCACACCCATAGAGACCCACAGAGACCCACTCCCATAGAGACCCACACCCACAGAGACTCACACCCACAGAGACCCACGCCCACAGAGACCCACAGAGACCCACACCCATAGAGACCCACAGAGACCCACACCCACAGAGACCCACAGAGACCCACACCCATAGAGACCCACAGAGACCCACACACAAAGAGACCCACAGAGACCTACACCCATAGAGACCCACAGAGACCCACACCCACAGAGACCCACAGAGACTCACACCCACAGAGACCCACAGAAACCCACACCCACAGAGACCCACAGAGACCCACAGAGACCCACAGAGACCCACAGAGACCCACACCCACAGAGACCCACAAAGACCCACAGAGACCCACACCCACAGAGACCCACACCCCTAGAGACCCACAGAGACCCAGACCCATAGAGACCCACACCCATAGAGATCCACAGAGACCCACACCCACAGAGACCCACAGAGACCCACACACACAGAGACACCCATAGAGACCCACAGAGACTCACACCCACAGAGATCCACAGAGACCCACAGAGACCCACACCCATAGAGTCAAACACCCATAGAGACCCACAGAGAGCCACACCCATAGAGACCCACAGAGACCCACACACAAAGAGACACACAGAGACCCACACCCATAGAGACAAACACCCATAGAGACCCACACCCATAGAGACAAACACCCACAGAGACCCACACCCACAGACCCACAGAGACCCATAGAGACCCACAGAAACCCACACCCACAGAGACCCACACCCACATAGACCCACAGAGACCCACACCCATAGAGACCCACAGAGATACCAACACCCATAGAGACCCACACCCACAGAGACACACAGAGACCCACACCCATAGAGACAAACACGCATAGAGACCCACAGAGACCCACACCCACTGAGACACACAGAGACCCACAGACACACCAATAGAGACCCACAGAGACTCACACCGACAGAGACCCACACCCACAGAGACTCACACCCATAGAGACCCACAGAGACTCACACCCACAGAGACCCACACCCATAGAAACATTCTGGTACCCACACACACATATACGGAAATTCCTAGGGGGCCAATCCTACTTCGCGGATTTTCACCTATCGCGAGGGGTTCCGGTCCCCATTAGCCGCGATAAACGAGGGATCAGTGTAATAAAGAAAGGTACGGCGGGCAGGCAGATGTGAAGGCATCGTGGCAGAGGCAGGCGGTCTTGTACGTGACCCTGCTGGCGATGGGGAGCCAGTTGAGAGCGCGGAGACAGGCGAGTGAGTCGAGACCGGGATGAGTGTGGGCAATGACGATTATTTTGTAGTCTTTGAAGTTTCTTTAGGTTGCCAGAAACATTTAAGCTGGCCTGCCTGCGATCCATCCTGGGTTTAACCAGGCTGGAATGTGTGAGGAGCTCACAAATCCTTGAAAGATCTGGACAAAGTCCCATCGGTGAGCTCCTCCGGGCAGGCAAGGCTGCGTTGGCTGGGTCATGTAGCCCGCATGCCCAGCCACCGCATGCCTAAACAGCTTTTGTTCGGACGGATCGAGGGGGCTAAACGGGCGCGGCACGGGCTGGAGAAGAGATGGAGTGATGTGGTACAGGAGGACGTGGAGCCGAGTGGACTTGCCGATGACTGGTACCAGCGGTGTCAAGATCGGCCTCTGTGGAGGAGGCTCGTGAAGGACGCTACTGGGCAGTTGGAGGCAGTCACCCTCCAGCAACAACGGAGGGCAGAGGAGCGATGCTCACAACAACGAGCGGAGCGCCGGGTGGCTAAAGCACAGCAAGTTGACACAGTAGGAGGCAAAGGTGGTGCATCAGTCACTCATCTCAGTCAGTCGACCCGTGGCACCTGCTGGGTCTGCCCCGTGACCTCCTGCCAGCGGGCGTTCGACACTTCACGTGGCCTCATCGTGCACATAGCCTGGCACAAGCGTCGTGGTGATGTCACCGCCACTTAGTGGTGAATGGCGGTTGTTGTTGCGTGTGTGTGCGTGTGTGTGCGTGCGAGTGCGTGTGTGCTTGTATGCATGCACGTGTGTGTGTGTGCGTGTGTGTGCGTGTATGCGTGCGTGTGTGTGCGTGCACGTGCGTGTGTGCGTTGGTGTAGCGGGTAGCGCTACGCTGCGCTACGAACCTGGCGACCCGGGTTCGATTCCCGCTCACGGCCAACACCGGCGACGATTATCTGAACCGGTCCTGGGCCTCCCCTAGGTCGACTCAGCCTCAGACGAGTACCCGGTGTAAACATCGCCACTGGGGAGATAAAGGTGGCCGGGCGTGGTGCTGGCCACCCACCCCCTCGTGTGCCGTTCCGGCCTTCATAGGTGCTCGCTAACAGCACTTGCCCCGACAGTCTGTTAAGGCTACACGGGGGATCTTCGTGTGTCAATGTGTGTGTGTGTGTGTGTCAATGTGTGTGTGTGTGTGTCAATGTGTGTGTGTCAGTGTGTGTGTGTGTGTCAGTGTGTGTGTGTGTGTCAATGTGTGTGTGTCAATGTGTGTGTGTGTGTCAATGTGTGTGTCAGTGTGTGTGTGTCAATGTGTGTGTGTGTGTCAATGTGTGTGTCAGTGTGTGTGTGTGTCAATGTGTGTGTGTGTGTGTCAATGTGTGAATCAATGTGCGTGTGTGTCAATGTGTGAATCAATGTGCGTGTGTGTCAAGTGTGTGTGTCAATGGCTGGGCCATGTAGCCCGCATGCCAAATCGGCGCATGCGTGCACGCTAGCAGCACTTGCCCCTACATTCTGCAAAGGGGCTACACGGGGTGTTGACCTCTGTCTGTGTGGTGCGTGCGTGCGGGCAGGCAAGCTGTACGGCCGAGGCTCCACGGACGACAAGGGGCCGGTCCTGGGTTGGCTGAACGTCATCGAAGCCTTCCAGAACCTCAAGCAGGTGCGGAACGCCCCGCTCGCACGCGACGCTCACCGAGGCAAAGATCTCCAGCCCCCCGCTCCCCGTGTAGAGTTTCGTCGCTGGTGCTGTTAGCGAGTAGCGGCACCTACGAAGGGCACACAGATACCCATCGACTCGTCACACAGAGACTCATCACACAGAGACACATAGACTCACCACACAGAGACTCATCACACAGAGACCCATAGACTCGTCACACAGAGACTCATCACACAGAGACCCATAGACTCGTCACACAGAGACCCATCAACTCACACAGAGACTCACAACACAGAAACCCATAGACTCGTCACACAGAGACCCATAGACTCACACAGAGACCCATCAACTCACACAGAGACTCAACACAGAGACCCATCAACTAGCACAGAGACTCACCACACAGAGACCCATCAACTCACACAGAGACTCATAGACTCACACAGAGACCCATCGACTCACACAGAGACCCATAGACTCACACAGAGATCCATCAACTCACACAGAGACTCACCACACAGAGACTCATAGACTCACACAGAGACCCATAGACTCACACAGAGACCCATCAACTCACACCGAGACCCATAGACTCACACAGAGACCCATCAACTCACACAGAGACCCATCAACTCACACAGAGACTCACCACACAGAGACCCATAGACTCACACAGAGACCCATCACACAGAGACCCATAGACTCGTCACACAGAGACCCATAGACTCACACAGAGACTCACCACACAGAGACCCATAGACTCGTCACACAGAGACCCATCAACTCGTCACACAGAGACCCATCGACTCACACAGAGACTCACCACACAGAGACCCATAGACTCGTCACACAGAGACCCATAAACTCACCACACAGAGACCCATAGACTCGCCACACAGAGACCCATAGACTCACCACACAGAGACCCATAGACTCGCCACACAGAGACCCATAAACTCACCACACAGAGACCCATCGACTCATCACACAGAGACCCATAGACTCATCACACAGAGACCC